TATGAGCATAATTCTTTGACATGGGAGGTAAATGAAAACGTAAGCAATGCTCTTGTATGAATGCGGAAACAATGTTTAATTTTTGATAAATTTACTGTGTAAAGTTCATTACTACATACCGGATGGCGCTACGTTAAGCACAATTAATGACATTTTATTTATTATACAACATGTCCCAAAATTCAACGATAAGCCAAGACCGGAGGATAGACCTGCCCCGGACTAATCGGGGAAAAAAAGAAAAAAATATATCCCAATTATATTTTAAGTTATATAAAAAAATGAAATTCTTCAGAAATTGAGACCGTTTATGATATTTTTCACTACCATGACCACATTTTTTTTAATATTTGTTTCTTTTTTATAGGCAACCTGAATAGCACTGCTAGCATAGCAATCTACCACAATTCTTAAAAAATCCAGAATAACACTTGTTTTATCACGAAAATTAATGAAACATATTTTATTCCCTAAATTTTTTGAAGACTTTTACTTTTAACCAACTTTAACTTATCGTGGTGTAAAAAAAAGTATGAACACTAGTATGGCAAGTTTTTTTAAAAATTAACGCAACTAACCAACTTTTCAAAATGGTATAATACTCTAGGAAAACAAGTTATAAAAAAATATGGGCCTATTATTACTTAACAGGCGCCTAATGACGGTCAAGTGTAATAAAAGTATTAGTTCTTGAAAAATGTTTAATATTTCAAAACAAATGGTACAAACAGTTTCACGTGTAATATTAACATTATAGCAAATGTTCGAACTGTTCGCCACCAGCATTAATACATGCACGACATCGCCTTAAAAATGATCGTTTTATTTGTCTTGCATATCTTCTGCTATTAATGTAATCAGCAGCCTGAGTGATATTTCGACGAAGCTCGTCCAATGTCGCAATGGGTTTTGAGTAGACCCTGTTTTTAAGACAACCCCAATAGAAGAAGTCCAGGGGGTTCAAATCGGGTGAACGGGGTGGCCATAAGATAGGACCAAGTCACCCGATCCAACGCCCTGGATACTCTTGATTTAAATATTCTCGCACAGGACGGGCATAATGTGCTGGGCAACCATCATTTTGGAACCACATGTTTTAGAGATCACTTAAGGGCACGTCGTCTAACAATTCTTGCAAGTAATTTTGTAAAAAGTTTAAATAACTATTGTCATCTAAGTTTTCTTGTAACTCAAAGGGCCCAATTACTTTTCCATTTAATATGCCGGTCCATAGGTTAACCTTGAATTGATATTGGGATTTGTCTTGTCTCATCAAGTGCGGATTTTCATTACTCCAACTATGTAGGTTGTGAAGATTTAAATATCCATCTTTCTTGCATGTTGTTTCATTCGACCATAGAATTTTGTCTAGGAATTGGGGATCTTCACTGTGCCTTTGCAGCATCACACGGCAAAATGTGACTCGTAGCGGATAGTCCCGCGGTAATAACGTCTGCACACCGCTGTAGTGATATGGGTGAAGCTTGTGACGTTTTAATATTCGATGTGAAGAACTTTTCGGGATTCCTGTAGCTTCTTCTATGGCACGTACCGAAGTAGTCGAATCATTTTCTATCTCATTGAGAACTTTTTCATCACAATCCAATCTAGGTCTTCCAACGCTTCTTCTATTGGATGGCATACGACCCTCCGAAAACGTGCATCAAGGCACATTAATAAACACTCGATAATCAGGATATCTTTGAGCATTTGGGTATCTTTCTCGATACAGTCTGCTAGCAGCGTTAGCATTACATCGGCATTCTCCATAGATTAAATACATATTAGCGTATTCCTGTGGTGTGTACGGTTGCGGCATGTTAAACGCCAAACAGTCCAAAATGCGCCAGAGAACTCTAAATCACAAAACACACAATCGTAGTCCAAGATAATGCCAGGTCAGTTCAGTTTGCAGATCACTTCCAGTCCAAATAATGCCAGGTCAGTTAAGTTTGCAGGTCGATTCCAGTCCAAAAAGCCAAGCCAAAAGTCGATAGTATGTACGAGAGAGCCACGTAAGTTGAATTGGGAACGGTGCGCAGTAAACAAAGAGGCAGAGCGTACTTAACTGACTTGTTGAGAATAATAACAGCTTCTCTACCTGCCCTGTTGTTGTCTCTTTTCAACGTAAATATCTCTATCTATCTATCTCTCTCTAACATCTAAGGTATGTATGCCCCATTCAAATTCCTAGAAATTGTAACAAGAACTCATTTTGGACATGTAGTAAAAGTGATTACTGACAATTACAATTTAAGGAATTTGGCCCCTGTTTAGAAATAATAGGCCCATATTTTTTATAACTTTTTTTTCCTAGAGTATTATACCATTTTGGAATGTTGGTTAGTTGCGTCATTTTTAAAAAAACTTGCCATACTAGTGTTCATACTTTTTTTTACACCACGATAAGTTAAATTTGGTTAAAAGTAAAAGTCTTCAAAAATTTAGGGAATAAAATAAGTCAATTTGTAAAAACAGAGTTATTCTGGATTTTTTTAACAATTGTGGTAGATAGCAGTGTTATTCAGGTTGCCTATAAAAAAAAAAGAAACAAATATTAAAAAAATTGTGGTCATGATAGTGAAAAATATCATAAACGGTCTCAATTTCTGAAGAATTTAATTTTTCTATATAACTTATAATTGGGATATTTTTTTTCTTTTTTTCCCCGATTAGTCCAGGGCAGGTCTATCCTCCGGTGTTGGCTTATCGTTGAATTTTGGGACATGTATATACACAGAAAATCAATGAAAAACATTCTGTGATTTAGACTTATTTATTTCGTTTTAGTAGTTTTTGCACATAATGTATATAATATTATATCACTTTTCAAGAGGCAAACGTGGATATGAAATAAGGCCTCCTAAATAAAGATAGCGACGTTGCCATTTTGGCGTTCTATCCAGACTATCGAGCAAAAGTGAACGAGCGAACGATAGCGACCTTGCCCTAAAATGTGAAGACTTTAATGGTAGGTTATCCCAATATTCGCTCTTGTAAAATTATGTATGTAGATGTTCTAAATTAAATGTTTCATTATATGACTGTGTGCTTGCTTGCTGTAAACAACATTTCTGTAAACAACCTCCCGGGCCGTGGAGTGGCGGTGTAAGAATAACCATTATCCTTATATCATCCCGTGGGTGTCGTATGAGGGGACGGAGAAAGACGTCAGGAGATCGACAGCAGCGTCTTCCTAATGAGGACTAAAACAAAAACTGCGGTAGCCAATCCGCTTGTCAAAAGTGGCGACTATGACCAAATATCGCCCCTATGATATAATCTATGGGGGAGGCCTATGTTTAGCAGTGAACTTTAACAGTCTGGAACGGTAACGGAACCACCTACCTTTGTTTTATTAATAAAATTAGTTGACTGTTAAAACTTCCATACTGTGATACCATATGTACCTTTTACACAATAATAAAAGTAAACTACTAAATAATAAAATGTAAAATTAACGAAATAAAGAAATTCTACTAAAGAAGAAAAGTATCAATTCAATTATTATAGTATTCAATGATACAGCATAGAGTACCTATGGTTCGTGCTGCATAGTGAATAAATACGTCATGCAAAAGTATCAATTCAATTATATAGTATCAAACGCAAAGTACCTATGTTCTCTCAAGTATAAATACACACCCTTAAAGCGGGTAGTCTATATTGTTTGAAAATATACTTTTTCTAATTTTGACGTAAGAACAAAATTAACTATTTCGAAATGCTTCACCAACATTGAGTATTTATTTATTGTATTTAATGTAACGTCACCTGTATAGTTCTTAGGATTCTGCTTTATCACAGTCAAAATATATTTATAATATATAAAAATACTACTCTAGTCAACCAAATCTAAGAAATACATTTTGACAGCTGTCAGACTTATTGCATCAAGCATGCCAACCAAAAAATGGAAACATACAATGTTCTATTCTTAAAAAAATCGATATTGATTATTTAGAGTTGGTAACAGTTTGGTTTGAATAATAACAGAATAAATTAGAAACGGATAATTTAAAACAAGATTTATCAGTTTCTTCATACTTTTTGTTACTGCTAATTTCTAGAGGCAAAGTTATAAAAATTTAAGATTGAAACTAGATTCAAAATAAATTTATTCAATAACTTTCAGTTCAACTAGTAGAACTGTCGTTGTTTAGATTAATTTTATTTAATTTTAATTAATGCAGTCAAAATTAATGTCTCTTTCAAAGTCATCCATAATAACTGCGTTTTGTTTTTCCTACCACTTTCACCCAATCATCCCTTGTGACATGGGCATATACTTCAACGAATATAGAGAAATCCATGCCGAGTCCAAAATAAGAAAACAAACACAAAATTACGCACAGTGTGATCCCAAAATGGCGGGAGATTGAAATTGCGTATTGGTTTTTTTAACGCGGCCTTGTATATAACTTATTTTGCCTACACAGGTTTACGTCGACAAAGCAAAAAAATGAACTTGTTTTATTCACGACTCACGTAATTTAAGGAATTTTAAAAATAAAATTTAATTAAACATAATACATTAAAAAATTAATGTTTCCATTATTTGAATATTTTTACCGATTATTTGAATTCATTTGCCGATTATTCGCATAACAATGAATTTTTAATCAACTAAACACTACGGTAAGATACATAGCGAAATATCATTGAATCGTCAAGTAAAAAAGTGGATACTGGTTATTTTTTTTATATTTTGCTTTGTTTGAAAGATTCGAATTTAAATTAGTGATTAAAAACTATACACATTGTAATGAAATATAGATAACTTCATAATTCTTCAGATTTACGTAAAATGTTCTTTTAAATCGTGTGAGTACGCTTGTGCAAAGTTATTGCGGAATGATTAATGTGAAACGTCAAAAGGTATTTCTTAGATTTGGTTGACTATAATGTTTTTTCAACCCATGTCGTATTAGCGGATTGCACACTCTTTTCAACGCACACAGTTAATATCACACTAAAATAATTTGTCAGATTAAACTCACCACCCCTTTATCTTCTGGTAGATGTAGATAGCTGTCATCGGAATGGGTGTCATAATAGCAACTGCCACCGGTACAACTGTAACAATTTTATTTCTTTATATTTTAATATGAAGTAGTAATGTTGGTATAACACGATCGATCAACCGCAATCCACATTCACCCACAGTTTTCCGGATAGATAATGCAAATAATTTAATTTAAAAATTAAAAAAATAAAACCGAAACAAAAACAGCTGATGATCTTCAAACATACGATAAACAGATTATCTTGAATTAATACAGCTAAGAACACTCTCGATTAAAACAAAACACCTTTCAAACGAAAAGAAAACCATAATCAAAACCGGTTCATCATCATCATCAGTCCAGGAGCGATGATGCCACGGACAGACATACGGATACGCAGATACACACTAAAAACTTATAACACTCCTCTGTTTACGTCGGTACTTAAGAGGATAACTTGAAAATGAATCGTAGTTTTGGGGGCGTGAATTATCCCTTTGTCGGTGAAGCTCACGGACGACTAAGGGAGTGTCAAAGTGAAAGTGATGCAATGATTTATTAATACGCAAATTATGAGATATTAGTAAATCTGTATTAAATTTTCTACTCCGCCGAATTATGCAACATGTACAAATCGTCTCTATACAAAAAACTGTGAATTGGTGGGTTATTTAAAAAATCGGTGATGTGCTTATTTTGATATAATATATCGATTGATAAAAGCTAATTATTTAAGCTTTGTATTGACGATTTGCTGATTTCACTGTGTAAGAATAAGAACGGTTGTCGTAAGAGGCGACAAAGGGAAAGTAACATAATCAGGAGATAGGAAGCAGCATTTTCATAATAGCTACAACAAAATAAAAAAGCCAACTGTTGCATATGCTCCCTATGAAGCAATCTACGAGGGTAGCTTTGTTCAGTTGTGTACTTTTTAAAAGGTTGTAACGGTAATAAAAGTTTATTATATAGTTTTTAGAGAAAATTAATATTTATTCAAATAAAGAAGGTTATATATGCTTTGTCATCTCTTAGGTCTCAAAGGTGAAGAGAGAGAGATAGAGAGAGAGAGAGAGAGAGAGAGAGAGATAGAGGGGAGAGGGAGGTGGCGAGAGCAACTTTAAGTGTTGTTTAAATTGACGTTTATTTTTGAGTAAGGCCGTTAAAATCGACTTGGTGGAATTCAAAATATTAGACCCATTACTACAACTTTTAGAAAGGAAATTAATATAAATTTACCCGTGGTAAGATCTGCTTCGGGTTGCGGCAATGCGTAACGCAACAGGAAGATTGCGATGCCGGTATTCTGGATGCCGGTCTCGATGGATATCGCCAAAGCGTCGGGGTGCGGTTGGCGACAAACTCTCCCCAGTAAATAGCCGGCAGCGTAGCCCAGCCATGGGACACCCATGCCGGCGACTACGATCTGAAATTAAGAAGAAAGAACATATTTATTCGTTGCTTACTTTTACAAAACATTGATTTTACAAAAAAAATATTTAAAAGAACGAAAAATGGATTGCAATAACAAAAAGGCAACGTTGTATAATGTCTAAGGATGTAATACCGTAATACGTGGTAGAGTCATGCTGCAGCTATATTACTGGCATAGATTGTAGCGCAAATGGGGTCGGCTCGACCGGGGTAGGATTACGCTCTCACCGAATACCGGCGTAAAATAGCAGCTCAATGCTGCTGCTTGCGTATGGTGAGTGTAGGGAACCGGAGACCCTTTTTACTGGAAACGACGCATTCCATCTTAGTCCTCACGGGTGATAACGCATCTGCATTTTGATTCGTAATCGAGGATAGATGTAGATGTCTATGTACCACAGCAACCACTTACCATCAGGTGAACTGTGTGCTCGTTTGTCATTCTTAGCCTATAAAAAATGTGATATTAAATAAATAAATAAAAAATAATAATATTCAGGGGTTAAATAAATTTAAAATTTAACAAACAAACGATCATAAGAAATCTTACCTCCCACGTGAACAATTCGAAGATGTAGAGATTGGTGACAATGGCGAAAACGATGATAAACAGCAACAGGGTGGTTGAGAATCCTTTGAGGATCCGGACCATGAAAGCGGAAAGGCGTGGTGTCCATTTTTGAATTGCGAGACCTATGCCTAGAGGCACTATAAGGCCCACAACAAAAGTTGCAATACGAGTGTATGGAACAACAATGTTCGCGTTACGGAACACCACCTGGCCGAGTGAGAACAGCCAGAGGGGCATGAAACCTGAAAAAATAAACAAATGTATATAACATCCTTTCCACGCGTCCATCCACAACAGCCTATAAAAGTCCACTGCAGGACATAGCCTCCCCCATAGAGTGCAGATAGTTGCTACGCTTGACATCCTAGTTCCTGTTCCAGTTACCTTCCGTCGCCTCTTACCGACACCCACGCGACGGATATGGGATAGTGGATGTTCTTACACCGTCGCTACACGGCATTAGATACAACTAATATACCCATGTTCTTGGCGAATTACGATGCGATCCATAGAATACTATAATACACAATAGAACGGCTGTCAACCTTATTTTGTACGAGGATCGGTGTCACTGGGAGCACACATACAAGCAATTACGTCGTATTATCACTACTACAAACCCGATTCACTGTATTGATAGACTGAGTGAATTAACACATTTTAGGCTTTTGATTAATGTTTTGACACATCAGTATGTTTTTTTGTTTCTAATATTTACAAAATATAAATAGTTTCGACTTAGTGGTTGTAGGATATATCTCCTTTATTTAAATTCCATTTCTCGCTGTTCTTTAGAAACGTAATTATTAGACAATTTCCCAATTTTAAATAATTTGCATGCAGCGACGCTTGACACAAAAATTGAAAACGGTTGATTGTGTTGACATTTATAAGTGTGAATTGACATGTTAGTGACATATTAATGATTTCTTATATTTTACGGATTATATCGCGTTTAATTTTAATTATTTTTATAATTGATATTAAACGCGATATAATCCGTAAAGTAGTTTTAATCAATGTTAGTGGCTTCACGGGCTCCACCCACTTCACCGTTCTATTATGTATGTACCCAAGCGATTCAATAAGGTTAAGCATTGCGTTAAAATGTTCGGTTTACATGAAATCTTCCATTTTTGGCTTAATTTCGGTTTTTTGCAGAAATGGTCACCCCAAGGATGAAGGAAAAGCGCATTCTCTAAAAGGCAAATGTCTAGTAATGAATTTAAATAGGCTAAAAGAGAAGTAAAGGTTTGCAAACGAAAATATGTGTTGTTACCTCTTTGGTTAGTCCTAGAATATGAATAAAATTTCTCGTTACCAGTAAATGAGGTACGCGGTTTACGTTACTCGGTTAAAAAAAGCAGCATTATACTTAATTTTTTATAATTTACATTGTACTTCGAGTTATTAGTAATAAAAATTTAAATAAAGTAGTTGTTCTTTTAGTGGTAAGACTTCGCCAGCGTGGAATTTATTACGTTTGGATTTAATTCTTGGTTTTAATTCCTTTGCGCGGAACCCTAATTATTTTTCTAAAATAAAAGTAGCCTGAGTTACTCCTTATAACATCAGCTACCTGCCAGTGAAAGTCCCGTCAAAATCGATCCATCCGTTTCGGAGATTAGCCGAACAAACAGACAAGAGACAAAGATTTTAAAAATAGATTTTATTTTGTTATAATATCATTATATACTTTCATAAACACAGTAAAAAGCTGTTATTTTGATATTAAAACAGACATTTCAATTTCATGTATTTGTATAGATTAATAAGACGTAATGCTGAGGTGAATAAATTACAAATAATATTGCCTTATCCGTAACAGCCTCTTAAAGTTCACAGCTGATCATAGGCCTCCCCCATAGATTGCCTCTTAGGGGGATATTTGCCATAGTTGCCATAGTTGCAATGCTTGGAAAGCGGGTTAACAATTGCAGTTACATAAACAGTCACGCCGGTCCCCAGAGGGGTAGGCAGACTTCCATTGAGCACGATCCTGACACACCTCTCTCGCTTCCTCCACATCCATATACCTACGCGTACATACTCGTCGGTTAAGGGTACTCTTAATTTGGTCCATTTTTAATATATCGCCAATTTGGTCGATAAACTTTCGCCCACTATAAATATATCAATATCGGAGTTTTATATATAAGTTTATCTTAGTAATATATCGAAAATCCGATATTTTAAAAAACATCGACAGTTTTATTTTGAACTGATCAGTTGGAATGATCAGTTGAACAGACCGTGTGTGACGTCCATTAGACTTGGAGAATGTGTGGCATAAGGTTAAGAAAGGTTTAGGGGATGCAGCTACCGAAGTATGTGGTGTATATGTAGAAAGAATGAATGAGGAAAGACTGACAAAGCAAATATATGTTGCAGAAGTGAATGGAAGAGTCGGAAAGGGACTTTCTACATGACCAAACCACCGAAGCATTCCTTACTTAATCCTGGTCACAGCATCATCTTGCAAACCACACTCTTCTTTTATCACACAGTTTCTCACCCTGTCACTCAGATTCAGCCCTAACCTAGTCCTTAGCGACCGCATTCCCACTGCATTTATTCTACTCTCGTGCTTCTTCCGCCACACCCAACTTTCACTACCATATTTTAAAGTAGGGACTAATGCAGCATTGTGAATTGCAATACGTGCCCTTTTTTGACACATTCTGACTTCACAATAGAAGAATAAATAAAAGAACTCAAGGAACATGGAGCAAGTCAGTGGGCATTTCAAAATAACTCCGGTCTAGGTACCGAGCTAGCAGTAGCAGAGATTAGAGAAAAACTTGACAACCTACAAGTATGCAACTGCAATTCACTTAAGGAGGACAACGACTACAAAAATATAATTATGCGACCAAAGAGCAGCAAATTGTCGGTCCAACAAGATCGTATGCCGAAGCTCTCATCAAACCTCGATTTGCTCTTCTTATGGAATCCTCCGACCCTATAGGCACACAAGTGAAGATGTTGTCAGTACCGTTAAAAACAATATTGACGTGGTGCAACTAGGAGTGGGAGTAAATAATGTCATAAGAGTCAGAAATCAAAAGGTGGTCATTACGTGCAATAGAGAAGAGGACCGTAGTAAGTTACAAAGTGCGATCAAACATTCTGATAAAAAGCTCACAGTGTCAAAATAATCTACTAAAAATACACTTATAAAGTTAATAGGAATATCGAACGATCTCAATAATAAACAAAAATAGAGGAAGCACTCGTAAAGCAGAACGTGAAGCTATTCAAAGATATAGAAAAAGATGATATTAAGATTAAGGTCCTAAGACGAATAAAAGGCCGCACAGATGCAGTTAATAACATAGTTATCGAAGTAAGCCCTTGCGTTTGGAAGGCCTTTAAAGACCAAAAGGTGCATGTGGGCTACCAAATAGTCCCAGCTACAGACCAGTCACCTATAGTCCAGTGCTATAGATGCATTGGCTTCGGACATAGAGCAAACGAGTGTGCAGCTGATAAATCAACCTGTGGTTATTGCGCTGGCGAACACGACAGCAGACAATGTCCACGAAATAACGGAGCACCTTCATGTGCGAATTGCATTAAAAATAAAGTCAAGGGTGACCATAGTCCCGCAGCATACAGTGCTGAATGCTTAGTATGTCAAAAATGGGACCGAATAGCGAGATCCTTTGTTGCATACTGTTAAAGTATTTCAGACAAATGACATCGAACAAACACAGATGAACACAAACATTATAAATAATATGCCAGAAGACTCGCAAACTGTAAAAATCGTGCAAGTTAATCTTGGACGAGGAATGGCGGCATATAAATCTTTACAAATGGCCGTCAACCAAAGAATTACACTTCTTTTACTGCGAGAACCATATATCGGTTCAAAAGGGCATGTTACTTGTAATCGCCGCGTTATACAAAAAGTGACTAACTTAATTGATAAACCGGTTAAATCGGCAGTCATCGTTGTTGATCCCACGTACTTAATTATAGAAAATCCAGAATACATAAGTGAAAATATAGTAGGCTTTATAATTAAAGTAGGAAACCGTAGTATAGGAGTAATTAATGTGTACTTGGAAAAAATGGGGACCTAGATGAAGATATCAGAAACATTGTGAAAATTGCACAGAACATGGACACCGAGGACATCATCTTGGCAGGGGACTTCAATTCAAACAAAGTCCTTGGTGGGGTAGCAGAGATGAAGATAGGAGTGGATTACACTTATCGGAAATGATAGCTGAAATGGACATGAACATACTAAACCAAGGAAATGACCCTACATTCTATCAGTATCGAGCTGGAAAACTCTATAGCAGTCTGGTGGATGTAACCGCTTGTACATCTGCGTTACTACACAAGGTAGAGAAATGGAGAGTAGATCCAGACTTTGTTACACTTTCTGATCATTGAGCAATTCAATTCCAAATAAAAATTATCATAAATAAACAAAAAACTTCCTCCAGAAAGTCTACACGTCTATTTAACACCGCTAAGGCAAATTGGTTAATTTTTATAGATGTTTTAAAAGAAGGGTTAAAAAATGATAAAATCACAGAAATAAAAGTTAATCTGATAAAAACAACAAATGATATGGAAGACATTTTAGACAAATACATTAAACAAGTCAGCATTGCTAGTAAAAGGGCAATACCACCTATCTCTAAAAAAATTCACACAACCTGCACACCCTGGTGGACTAAGGAGTTAAGAGCTGAACGACGAGAATTAATAAGAATAAGAAGAAGAATAAGATTTGCGAACGCCAGGCGTAAACCCTTCCAAGAATTTACAGCAGCCAAAGAAAAATATGTGAGTAACATAATGTCTACAATTACTGCGAGCTGGAAGGAGCTATGTACAAATCAGGAAAAAGAGACAATATGGCAGAGCATTTACAGAATTATTAGGAAATGCACAACAATAAACGAAGACAAACTTTTGCGTTTAGGAGAAAAAACTCTCAATCCGGATGATTCAGCTATGTTACTAGCTAAAGTATTGTACCCCGATGATGAAGTAAATAAGGACACCGAAGAACAAGGAAAAGTTCGTGATGAATCGAATGCAATTAATAAAGATCTAAGATATGACTCTATTAATTTTCGGAAATTCACCGAAGAAGAAATAGAAATGGTACTACAAAGAATGAGCCCCAAAAAGGCACCAGGAGAAGATGGTATAACATCAGACATCTGCTATGAGGCTTACAAAACTTCACCGTCAACGCTGAAGGCAATTTTCAACA